ACTTTCTTGTATTTCTCAAGTACCTTTCTTGTTACATACATCTACATGGAGGAAAGCATGCAGTAGGATAACCCAGGATTCCGTCTTAGGTCCAATATTTTTCAACATCATCACTAAAAATTTAGATGAGGGGATAGAAGTTGATCTCATCAAATTTGCAGACACCAAGCTGCGGGGAATACCCAACATTTTAGAACAGGTGTGTCAAACTAGATTTCTTCAAGGGCCAGATTGGCATTTTAGTTCTCCTCGATGGGCTGTCCAGGCTGGTAGGGAGGTGGGACTGGCGCCTCCAGCAGTACCCTTCCAGACAAAATGGTGCAGGGATGTGTCCACGAGCCCCATACTTAGCCTGCATGTGCTCCTACAGCATTTTGACAGCCAAAATGGGATATGTGTGTGTGTGTGCCAGAGGCACCACAGGTAGGTCCTTTGCTATTTCTAGCTCCACATTTAAGCACTCTGAGCGGTCCACAAGCCTTTAGTTTGACAACCCTGTTTTAGAAGATAGGCTCAGGATTCAGAAGGATCTTGGCAGACTTGAACACTAAGCCCTATTCAACAAAATATAATTCAACGTTGAGAAAATTAAGGTTTTAGATTTAGGCAAAACCAAAAGTACAGTTGGTACTGGCTCAACAGCAGTTACTGAGAGGGGGAAGTCCTAGTAGACATCACTTAAGTATGAGCTAAATATGAGCTGCAGCAGGGGTGGGTTTCAAAAAAGTTTGGAACCTCTTCTTTAGGTGTGGCCTGCTTTCCGGGTCCACTGGTGGAACTTCTTCTAACCGGTTCGGTAGATTTGATGAACCGGTTCTACCGAATAGGTGCGAACTGGTAGGAACCCACCGCTGAGCTGCAGCTGCCAAAAAAAAACCAACTCAGTCCTAGGCTGCATCAACTGGAGGATAGAATCAAGATCACATTAAGTGTTAACACTGCTTTATAATGCTTTAGTAAGAATACTGCATCCAATTTTTGGTCACAATATAAAATACATATTCAGGCTCTAGAAATAGTGCCTGAAGAGTGTCTAGAAGAAGAACAAGGACAATTAGGAGACTGGAGACTAAAACCTATGAAGAATGGTATACAGATGTCTAGTCCAGGAGTCAGCAACCCACGGTTTTAGAGCCACAGGTGCCTTTTTCATGTCTCTGCTGCGGCTCCCTAACACTAGTAAACTGGGTGGCAGATCATTAAATAGAGATCCCACATAGAACTAAGGAGAAATTTTCTGATAGGGAGAACAATTAATTATTGGAACGGTTTGCCTCCAGAAGGTATGGATGTTCCATTACTATAAGTTTTTAAAGAGGAGATTGGCAATCATTTGTATGAAATGGTGTCACCTACTTGAGCAGAGGGTTGGACTAGAAGACCTCCAAGATCCGTTTCAACTCTGTTATTCTGATATTGTGCTGAATCAAATTCTACTGAAATAGATAGATGCATGCTAACACCTACCAGTTCAGACCGGTTTCGCTGAACTAGTAGTGGTTTGGTGGCCGTGGTCGTTGGAACCAGCAGCGACCTAGGCCTGCCACACACACCCAAACTCATTCTCTGGGCAGTGCCTATGGCATTGTCATCTTATTTTTCACTTCTGCTTAGGAGCAGAACAATTTTTATTGCACTGCAAATGTGCGCATGCATGCAGTGCCCCCACGAGCAAACTGACAGTAGTGCCTGCAGGAACCCAGCCCGGCGTATTTCCTTTTAGGATAAGCAGTTTTACAGTATGCTTCACATGCTGTAGGAAAGAAATAGAGAATAAAAATAGTAAACAAAAAAAATTATAAATAACAATTCAGCTAAAGCCTCCTTGTTTAACCTTCTTTACCCACTTCTCAAAATTGATTTCAATAAAAAATATTCTGCATTCTCTCTGCTTACTTGAAACGTATATTTGCTTCTGTTAACTACATTTTTTCAACAGTCTTTTTTTCCTTACAATATATACATTTTATGCTACATAATCATTCTATCTTAGCCCTAATTAGTGGCAGGCTCAGTGACTAGTTGACTAAGAAAAACCATTATTGCATCATATTTTGAGATCTTTGCTGTGTGAATTAAAGTTAATATCAACAGCATTTACACTTATATACCGCTTCACAGGGCTTTACAGTCCTGTAATTTACAGAGTCAGAATATTGCCCCCAACAATCTCGGTTCTTATTTTACCGACCTCAGAAGGATAGAAGTATGAGTCAACCTTGAGCTGATGAGATTCAAACTGCCAAATTTCAGCAGCCGGCAGTCAGCAGAAATAGCCTGCAGTATTGCATTCTAACCACTGCGCCACCACAGCTCTCTAATTCAGTAAAAAAAGTGGACTCCTCTAAAAAATTCCCAATACTAAAAACATCCTCATTTTTTATTACCTTTTTTTCCAGCAAACATTTTTTAATAGAGATTTTTCTAATTCATAAACTCTATTTCTGTATTTTCTTTTTACTGGAACTCCACAGAATTCTGTGGCAATCCAAAACAATTCACACTATTCCAAACAGCTCCTACATTCTCTTATCTCCACTCTACATTAATTCTGAAAGAAGATCAATCTATAGATCCGTTTTTTCCTTAGAACCCCTTTCGACTCTAACAATAACATGACCTGTTGCTTGCACACTCAGAATCTCTCATCAGCCTTGTATCTTTTTCATGAAGCAATCAATCATGCTTTTAGATTTGTATTGATTTCTTTGTTACGTATACTCTTACTTAAATAACATACTATATTTGAAACGAGTTATTTTTTTCACTCATTCTTGGTCTCTAAAATGACGGAATCTTGTTTCCCACCTTCCTAACAGAATATTTTTTTTCGTCTAGATTGCAGTGTTTTAGAAGGCTGTAGTTTATCAGAAAATTTATTCCTGGTTCTTCTAATCCCAACATTAATTGGAATATAGCACATAACTGTCACCAGCCAAGGATTCTTACATTCATCCATTTCTACAACTATCAAGAATCGTATACATAGTATACATTCTTTTTGATCATTTGTTAATTCATGCTAGTTATTTCTATTTTAAGATGCAGTCTCCTACATGCCTGCCTGTTACCAGAGGTGACTATCATTCTTGATCTCCCCTGCCAGCCTAGCTTTGGGCAACTGAGATTAGAACTACCTATTAGAAATGACAGATTATCATAATGAAACCTTTCAAAGTGGTCCTTCATGGAGAGCCCTGCGAAAGAGGTTGGTTCACTTGTGAAGTTACTATTGTACTCTTTCACCTTTTCCAATCCGGGACCTTTCCAAATATGGAAGTTCACAGCTGGAGAGCACAGATCCGGGAAGGTTGTGATGTTTCCTTGGAACTTTGAACCATCGAATTATGGACGTCGCTCAGAGCAGAGTCTCAAGGATAGTAAAGGATCAGTGGAAACATTGACTAGTGGAGCCCCAGCTGTTGAGCTGTGCCAATTGAAATTCGAAGTGCACTAACGTAAACGAATAATACTTTTTCCCCGCATTCTCAAGGTGATCTCTCTGATTTTGGAGATAGGTATTTAATGGATATCTCATGCGTTATAGGAGGCTCTGTATCTGCATTATGCATATAATACATTATAATAAATTAGCATGGGCTAACAGAGGCGGAGGGGCTCCTCAACCCAGCTCCCGCCGCTCTTGCGTTACTCCTCCCCGCCTTTATCTTCCCCTCCCCACCTAGTCAAAGTGTTGCCCCTCCCCCTCCAGGGTGCTTCTCTTCCCTTCCCTCAATGGCGGTTGGCGCATGCGTGGTGCCGGGAGGCGGCCCGGGCCATGGTGGCCGTTTAAAGGTAACCGATTCAACAGAACGGGAGCCCAGGATTTTGCCATCGAATTTCTCCCCTTCCCAACTCCGCCGTGTTGTCAGAGTGTGACAAATTTTCGGCTTAGCTCTTAGAAAAAAAGAAAAGGGAGAAGCGCATGAAAATTGTCGCGCCTTCCTTGGACACTTCAGGCCACCCATCTCCCACCTAGCCCCCTCAAAACAAGTATTTGAGGAGGGAAGATTTTCTTACGCCCCTTGCAAAAGACGCCCACCTGTATTCCGCCCCCACCCCACCCTCGCTAAGACAGAGGGGTTCTCCGCTTGTAAAAGTAGCCCCTTAAGTTTGTCCGCCCTACTCATTTTATAAATAAACAGTAGGTGGAAGTAACTCCCTTAATTTCCACAGCGCCCTCTTTCTGAATTTGTGGCCACTTTATAAAGACTCTTTATAAAGGCTCGGGGAAAAGCTGGTAGGCGAGTGAGATATTATGCAGGGAGTCAGTTAGCTTCCCATTTCCAGTGGTACAAGGCACAACGCCGTGCGTTGTGTATACGATTCCTCTCGTAGACTCTGGCACTCCGGTAACCTTTCCCACGTTCTCGGGGGAAGGTTGCTTCCCAATGAGGAGGATCCGCTAGAAAGGGAGGATTTGGGAGCTGGGTTTGTCAGCCCACAAGCTCCTTCTCTTTTTATTAGTTTTGCTCGATGAGGGAAGACGTAATCCCCTTCCCCGGTCTGTACCCTTCCCAATACCCACTGGGCACCGCTGTGTCCGTTAGAAGGAAAGAAACTCAAAGCCACCCCCTTTCTCGTTCCTCCTTCCTTGGGGGGGGGAGGGAAGGGTGAAGCAAACGTACCCCTCCCCTCCCCCCCATTCCTTGCAGGAGAAACTAAGACTGATCTAAGCGGATCAGCAGCATTTATTAGGAAGCGGTCCCTCCATTCCGGAGAGCCAGTTAGCAGGGGGGCCTGCTTCGCTTTTCCCTTAACATCAGCAGGTCTGGCACTCCCGTAGTCTGGGGAAAGGACGAGAGTAATAAGGAAAGCAGAGAGATGGTTCTTGCACTAGCGGCAGGGAGCTGTGAAGGTTGGTGACTCGGGAGAAACGGCCGGGGGAAGGTGGTGTAGGAAGAAAGGGAGGCGATGGGTCTTGGTGGGGTGGGTGGCGACGACCGCGGCGCCCCAGGAGGGGTCCAGGTGGGGAATTTGGACCGGCAGCGTAGAGAAGGCGGAGGCGGAAGAGCATGAAGGTGCTGCATCGCTATGAAATCGACCGTCTACAAAGCAACCGCGACTACGACGGGGCCGGGCTTACTGGAGCTTGGCCCGAAGGAAGAGGAGGAGCTGCCGATGCATCTTCACCAGCCTCCGCCTCCCCGGCAGAACCAGATAGGCCCCAAGGCCCGGTCTATCGTTCCAGTGGCTGCGGCTCCCGGACAACAGGAAGGTGGTGGCAGTGGCTGCTGTTGGGGCGGCCTAGTGCCCTCGCCGTGCCCGACAGGCAGTATTCGCCAATTGGGTGTGGGCGATGCTGCCGGTAGCTCCCGCCCCTCCAAGTACCAGGCGGTGCTGCCCGGACACACCGCTGCTGCTACCGCCACCAAAGACGGCAAGCGCGGCGGTTCCCACGCCGGGCCTGGAGGACCTCCAGTGTCTCTCTCGCCGCCGCCTCCGCCGTTACTGTCGTCGGCTTCCGCTACGGCCGAACCTGGGCAGCCTCCTCCACCCCCAGCAGTGGCATCCGGGGGTTCTCCGGTTTCATCGGAACCAAGCGGCAAGTGGAAAAGTGCTAGTAGTAGCAGCAGCACCGGGAGCGGCGGCGGGAACAGCCTTCGGAAAAGCCCCATGGGGGCCGGCGGGGGCAACTCCAGCCAGGCGGCCTGCCTCAAGCAGATCCTACTCCTCCAGTTGGACCTTATCGAGCAGCAGCAGCAACAGTTGCAGGTCAAGGAAAAGGAGATCGAAGAAGTCAAAGCCGAGAGGGACACAGTGAGTTGNTTGACCCTGGTCTTAATGAAGCACAGAGGTCCAAAGTCCTGTTGCTCAGTGGTCCAAAGTCCTCTTTTCTGAAGAAAGCAAACTGTTTGGTTTTTTATAAGCTAACTTGTCTTTCATAGTATTCTTTTCTCTTTGGGTATTACTGTTAAAGCAATATTCTTCCAGTTAGTAGAAATAAATACCGTCCCACTGAATATCATTGTTCCTATTTTGAACAAGTTCCTTTCTATGTCTTTCCCAATTTCAATTGTAAAATTCGATCTTCCCCAATAAAATTGATTACTTAGAAGGTGTTGATGTTGTTCTATATTTTACAGTTTGAACCTAAACAGAATTGAGCTATTTGCTATTCTTTTTACAATGTCTCACAAAGTGACAACAAATACATTTGTTGGAGAAGCTGTGAAGTAATTTCCTTTTGAAGGTTGGGGAAGATTTTTTTTCCCCTTCTCACATCCGATTGTGGACACCGTTTTCTCTTTTAAGTTAGTTTTTTTAAAATGTTGGGTTGTAATTGTATAGTAGAATGACAACAACAAATTCAGAGCCTAATCTCTCTTTGTGTCTTTGGCTTTGCTCTTGTCTATTTGGCTCTTTTTGCTAACATAATAAGTACTTGTGTCTTAATAATTGCCTTGCTGTATTTGTTTAAAGATTCATTAAGCCCACCAATTTACTTCCATCTGCAGCCAGTTTGTTACTTTGGGATAGTTCAGATGTTATGAAATGAAAATAGCTACCTGGTCATATGTCTCAAACACACTGAAAATTTTCATTTGTAATTCATTTGCAAAAAAGATAATAAGTATTAATGAATTCTTCTCTTGGCATGGAGCCAATATCTCATGCAGGATCCTGTGTACTTGATCTGTTCCAGACCTGTAACTTTACAAATGTTGTGATAGAAAACATAGTGCTGTTTTAACAGCCAGCAGATTATTGTAAAGTAGGCAATTGGCTTATGAAAAATAAAGACCAATTCATAGTCTGAAAGTCATTTTACCTTGTAATTTTAGGACAGTGATTGATAACATGATTGATACAAGTATGTGTAGATAAATGAACTTTTATGGATTTCATTTATAAAGTTTGGCTAAAATTAAGCTTTCTTAGGTACTTTTAACCAGAATATCTACTTTAAACTATTTAAGATATATGTAATAAACATTAGTTGTAGTAACACATAATTATAAGCCATATGGTGATTTGATTAATTATTGGCTCATCTGATTCCCAGAATACATTATCACAAACTATGCTTTATAAACCACAATGGCAAGATTATATAATTTGTTAAGACAAAATCAGATAACCATATTATGGCTTAGTATTATGAATCGTCTCTTATTCTGTAGGAGAATTTTTGATTTATATCAAATTGTACAACTTAATAAAAGAGGAGATCCTTTCAGCTCCATTCTGAATTATTGACTCTAGAAGATAATAAATACATGATTGATTTTGCAAGGTTAAATACCAAAAATCATCCAACAAATTTTATAAAAAGTTGTTTCTTACCATTGAACAATTATGATTCCACAGCATTCATTTTGAATTGTAATATTTGAACATTGCTGAAATTAAAGTTTTGCTGAACTCCAAAAATGACTGAGAAACCTGAAGCAAATCTGCCTTTGTCAGTGAGTGTTGGGAATAAAATCAAAAGGCATTATGTGAACTTGGGTAGGGAGAAGTTTTTAAAAATAAGTTTAACAAGTTAATATTGAAATTTTTCATAATATTGAAAAATTGTTATGTTCTCTAAAAACAAAATACAAATATACTTGTAGAATGGTGAATAGAAAAATAAAGGATAGGAAGGTGTTAAGTAATTAATACTAGTGAAATGTCTAACCTAAATGAACCCTGAATGTTTGAATGGTTACTTTGTTAGCTTCCTTCACTGAAATATTTCTTTAAAATTAGTATTGTAACACTGTTTTCCCTTTCTTAGTTCCATCATGGAGGGACCACACAGTAGAGCCCCTGAAAGATATGAATCCTTCTGAACTTCTGGAGGTATGTAAGCAAATAGCTTTGTAGTAAGAATTGAGCAACATGACTAGGTATAATTGCTGATGTATGGAAGAACTATAGTTTCTATATTCTATAACTATGTAGATAGCCACTCTAATATATTTCAGTTTTTAAACCATACTGTCCAATCAGATTTTTTTGAAATTATTATGGAAACATACATTGAAATATCAGATAAAATGGGAAGTCTCTGCTTTTATGCTCTGGTAAATTTTGTAATGCTTATTTCCTGAACTGCATTAGTGACTTAGTGGCTGTGGGATACATACTTTGAGGGGTTCCTGAAGCCATCCAAACTCTTGATGCAAATTATTTTCCATGGCACAATTTTATCACCTAAAATTAAATACCAAATTAATTCATTAAGCCTCTGATAAATTCAGTATGTTACTTCAGAAGATAGATTCAGAATTTTCAGCACTTTCAGAGAAATATATTTGGGAGTTTATTCATTTAAAAAAAGAGGATGTTATTGCTCAGCAGTTAAAGACACTGAGCTTGTCAGCTCAAAATATACTAATAATACAATCAGAGCATTTCAAACTGGAAAGCTAAATACCAAAGAAGAACCAATTTCAAAATCCATGTAATAATACAAGCATTTCAGTTTTGATGAAATGAATCCAATCCTGACACTCAGCTAATATTCATACATGAGGAACGTGATATGAGAGGCTTAACTATTGTCATTTAAATAAAATACAGACCGTTAAATAAAAGAGTTGATTTGCAGAATTGTTCATTTATATTTGTATTTAAAATTCTTACTATAATTAACTTATCCAATTTCACCACAACTAACCTAACTTTTGCTTAACTTTTTCAAATTTTGTTTTTTGAATGAACATCTTTAGACAGGTCATATTTTTTGTAGTATTGTTTTTATNCAAGGAAAAGGAGATCGAAGAACTCAAAGCCGAGAGGGACACAGTGAGTTGTGTGTTGGGTAATGTGGGGTGGAGAGGGCTAATCTTCAAGTTGGAGTGAATTACTGTTCACTAATGTTCAGGTGTTCAGGAAAAATGTGGTAACTCAAGGGTTAATAAATGTTGGGTGTGCACTGATTTTTGAAGGGTTAGTTTGGGGGATCCTGGTGTTAAACAGTGGGAGGGGCTAATGTAAAGCATGGCGTCTAATGTAGGGGGTGCACATGCTTAGAGTGAATGTGTAGAAAGATGGGGTAGGCGAACTGGCACTGATAATAGGTAAAGGGATGAGAGAAAAATATATGATTTTGGCACATAGTTCTGGGAATGAGTTGCTGTAGATTCAGATTTAAGCAAGAAGAATGAAGAATGCTGCAGAGATATACCTTAACAATCGCACTTGATGCATTAGTACAAGAGTTGGTAAAGAGTTCAACGTAATTAGGGATTGATTCCTGAAATGGAAATGAAATATAGGAATAGTATGAAAGATTAACTATGGCTAGAGAATAAGTTTCTTAAAATTCAAAAATTTGGAGTTTCTTTTCTGCATAATCAGAACAACAAGCAGCAATAAAATGTGTAACTAGAGTGTAGCTTGGTAATTAATTGGATGTAATATTGATAAATGTCAGATTAAGCAACCTAGAAGGTTAATAACCTAGAAGTTAAGTCAAGACTGTTGGATGATTTGGCTACCTGATAGTGGGGTTAAGGACATTAGTACAGTCCAGATATGTAATATTTGGATATGGATTTTGGAAAGAGTTGCAGCTATTTAGAAGGAGGAAGGGTATATGGCCGGGGCAGGAAGTCTTAGGCAACACCAGGGTTAACTTAAAGCAACAGGCATGTTCTTTGGGGAAGTGTGTGGCAGAAAATGAGTTAATTTAAAGGGGGCAGCAAAAACAACCAGATGCAGCTTATGTCATGTGGACACCAAATGTGGAGAGGGAGGGCCTTTTAACTGGTACATTTAAAGGATTATTACAGATGTAGATTTGGTGCTATCTTCTACCTCAGTTCTTCTCTCTGGGATTTCCTTCCTCTCATTTTCCAGAAGCACAATCCACTTTTTAATTATGAATATTGCAGAAAAAGCAGTATGTGCCACTTTGATAAGGTATTCCTTTTTATCTTTGTCTAGACCTTATATACCCTATCTACATGTGTTCCCAGATGTAAAATGATATAAATAATTTAAAATTCTGTTGTTCAGAACCTATGAAGTTGCAGTATGAAGGCTGATGTTACTGGAGAATTATGCTTCTCCATACAAAAGAGATGTCTACTGCAAACATGGAGATACATAAGAAAGTGACCATTGCTTTCTTATCCTATTACTAATAGAGTAAATGGGTATTACTTGAAGCCTAGAGAGAGAGAATGTGGATCAGCTGCAAATGAAGATTGGTTTATTTTGTTGTTAAGAGAGTGCTATCTGAAGCAAGAAGTGCATAACGTACATTTATTAGCTATAGTCCTAGAATAGTTGTTTGATGGTTTATTATTCTAAATGTTCCCCCTCCAGCTCCTGTCCCTAAATTGCCAGAAAGGATTTTAATCCTGGCCTGTATGCATGACAAGTCTGCAGCCTAAAAATAGCCCCCTCTTCCCCGTTCCTGCAGCTGCTCCTCCTATTATTGCTAAGGAAAGAAATATTTTCCTCTGCTTTAATCATAATCTTCAGGGTCTGTGTTCAAAGTGCATGTGGGATAGGATAGTAGCATTAGCATCTGGTTTCAGGAAGTAGTAGCATAAATATTCAGTATTTTACTGTTTGTATCAGAAAACTGTGTTATCAACATTACAGTGTAAAAAATCTTAGGCCTGTGCAAAGTTAACCAATATGAAGGAGTCAGCTGCCATTTTGCTGTCAAGGATGTTATGATAGGAGGCTGAGGAGTTAACATGCTCCTGCCCAGGCTTGCAAAAAAAAAAAAAAGAGCAAGTGATAAATATTCACACCAGGAGGAGCTAGAATATGCACAGAAGAGTTAAAAGAAAGTTTGTGAATTAGGTGGATACTGGAACTGCTGGTTTGGTTGTTGGGTTAATTGTAGATTTATAAGGTATCTAGTGATTCTCTCTTTTTGTTTTTTTCCCCCCACCCTTTCTTCCTGTGAGGTGTCTCATTTCAGTTATACAAATCCTTTTTCATATCATCAGTCTCTTACATATTATTTACAATACTAATTTTTAAAATAGAAACTTTTTTGAAATTGGGTTTAAATTGTACGTTCTAAGAATTACCATCTGAATAATTTCATAAATAAGTAAAGGTCTGGGACCTTGACTGCACCTGCATGATTACCATCTGCAATTTTTTGATCTTCCTCCTCCAATCACTTTTCCTTTACCTCCACTCCCCATTGAAAAGAACTGTTGGTGCTCCTTACACCCCCTTAGCAATATTTCTTATACATATTGTTTGCATTGTCTGGTCATGGGTGGGGGGAATGAGTTTTTATAAGTTGTGCGAAGCTGTCAAACTATTACTCCACCTGAAAGCCATCAGAAACTTCAAATCAGTCTTATGTCCTACAGTCCTGTGGCTGAAATGGGAGACAGGATAAATAATTTGGAACAAAATGTATATTCTTTAAGTGACACCTATGGGTTAGGGCAGATTTTTTGTTCATCTGATTTTATTTTTACATTCTTTTAATTAAAAAAAGCAAGCCAATATGGTAAAAATACTTTAAAAAATTACTTGTTTTTTGTAAACCTGAGGGGCTATAGACACAGCATAATTTCATGTTTATTCCTTTTTAGTTATTGGTATTCGGATGACAATTTTTTAAAAATTCTGTTCCAATATTCTAAATGCTTTGAGCCATCTCCTGTTTTTCCCCTCCACAGCTCTGTCAAGTGGGTTGGGCTGAGGGAAAGTAAGTGTCTGGGACAGTCACCTAGCCAGCTTCTGAGTTGGAAAGCATTTTAAAAATGTTATTTAGTTGCTTCACAAAGTTATTGAGGTAATGTGATTCTTGAAGAATCTATAATTTAATATTCTGGGAGTAAAAATATCCTACATTGAAATATTAAATGTACACTATTATGTGCATATAATTCAAAACAGAACATACAGATAGTCCTCAAGTTAAGATCATAAGGGAGCCTGCTCATCATGGTTATAGTTTGTGATGGTCATAAATTGGGGGTCACCCATTTTGTTAAGTAAAGTAATGGTTTTGCTGTGGCCTGGTTTTGCTGAAAATGAAAATAAATGTCAGTTTTGTCAAACCATCATAAACTGGATATATGACCATGGAACATTGCAAATAACCATAAATACTAGCCAATTGCTGAGTGCCTAGAATGCCGTCACATGACCATGGGATGGTGCAATAGAACTTCAAGTACTCCCCAGGGAAGACAATGGTAACTTTGGCTTCTAAGCAACCAATTGTAAGTCAAGGATTATCTATACATAGATCCGGTTCAACAAAAGAAGCAACCAAAGATAACAGTTGCTTCCCTAAATTCTTAATTGTAGAAGTTTCACTTTTCTCTCATACAAACAATAGAATCCACTGATTTCGAAATTGAATCCCTACATTATTAGAGTTGTTTCAAATACAGCTTTGTAAAATGGGTCAAAACTTACTTAACTTCCTTGCTTAGCAAAGGAGATTTGGGGTAAATTTTGGTCATAAATTGAGGATTTACCTGTGTACAATATACTGGTAAGCATTGCAGACTGCAATATTAAAATAGTGCAATTTTGCAGAACTTGCACTTCATTTCTATATAATGTGAAAGTTGAATGAATATTAGTAACTACAAAAATTGTATTTTGTTAATGGAATACTCTTTAATACCAAATTGCAATGTTGTGTTCTTAGCTTCTTGCTCGAATTGAGCGTATGGAAAGGAGGATGCAGTTGGTGAAGAAGGACAATGAGCGTGACAAACACAAGATATTTCAAGAGTATGAAACGGAAGAAAAAGTTGACTCTGATATACCAGAGAAGTTGCCTATAGAATGCCCACCACCAGAACTCCTGGAGACTTCCCAGCCGCTGCCTTTGAAACATTTCCCATGTGGAAGAAATGGGAAGGGTCACAAACGGTAAAACTAGAAAGCTGCAGTTATATGTATTTAAACCTATTCTGTTAAGGTTTTAATCAATGACCATGAATTTTTTTACTAACAAACAAATCCTAATATCCCGCAAAATCATTTTTTTAAAGAAAACATAAACAGGTAAATCTAATGTCAAAAATATTGACTAGGGATATACTGTGAATGAATCAAATTCAATTTATTGAGTATTGATGTGAAACTACATACCCAGACCACAAAGTAATTCAAATTGAACTGAATTTGATTAAAATATAAAGAAACCTAGCATCAAAACCTGTACACTTGCTTTTTTTAAAAAATTAGACAAGTTGCGCTAAAATGAATATAATGTCTGCATTTTGATTGAAAGTTGTTCACAAAAAAAGAGAGGCAATTAATTTGTATTTTTTTAAACATTCCATATTTAAGTGGGGAAAGCCACCATTTGTACGTTAGATTGTTTTTACTTTGCCTGTAATTTCATTGTATATTGTTAATATATATTTTTAAAAGTTCTACCTATTTGTGCTTTTCCTTGACAGTGATTGGAGAACATGAATCTTTCTTCAGAGCCAAATCGTGCCAAATGGGACACTCTCCCATTTAGTTATCTTTTATGTAATATTACTTGCAGGAAATATTACTTTTAGTGATAATCTGCATAACTATCATGATAGTTAAGTTGATACGTTAATATTTTCATATGTCTTTGTTCCTCCCTTTTGCCAAGGGAAAAAAGAGGACATAATGTGTCTTATACATCCATTCTGCTATGCTCTTTTAGGATAAGGAACTTTATGCAGAGCAAAGAAAGAAAATACTAAGTAGAAGACCAAAGAAATTAAAAATATAATGGGAAAAAGAAAAGGAAACATTTATTGTATTTTTATTTACCTTTCTAGTCTTACAGGCCATCTTTTTTACTACCAGGTCCATAACTATTTCTTACATTGCCTTTTTTAAAAAAATAGATCATATTTTAATGGTAAAAAAAATCTTCCATAGAAGAATTTTGAAGATAGGTCTGTGATTAAAACGTTAATTACTGCTCTGCCTTTTAGTAATGAAAGTGTTTTATGCACACGTTTACAATTTTACTTTGTGCACATCCCACAACTTTATTTAAAGAAATATTAATGCTGTTGCATCTCTCCCACATTTACAGATGGAGTGATAATGAGATTAAATTTCAGACAGAGAGCTCATGACTTGCAGTTATTAACGATAATCTACTGATTGCTGGTTTTGAGATAAGCACTTTATTCAAACTAGGGTTTTTACTAAATACTGTGATAAAAGTCTATCTCTAGATGATCAGAAGCTATATAAGAGTATTTTTGTTGATTTGGCATGGTTCTGAGTTCTGAGATCCTAATAGTTGTGCTCAACTAAATCTTATGACTTCTTCAAAAAAGCTTTTCTTAAATCCATATGTGACTTTCCTTTAAATCTTAATATTAAAATATTGTTGGACTTTTTCTAATTTTAATTATTTTGATAAGAGCTAAGGTCCTTTATAGCCTTTTTATTTGCTACTATTAGCCTTTCCCTGTACTTTTGCAGAAAATCTGCATTTGGAAGTGCCGAGAGGAAAACTCCAGTGAAGAAGCTGGTAACTGAATTCTCAAGAGTCAAATGTAAAGCTCCAAAGGTTTCTCCATTAAAGGAGGAACCCAGTCGTTCTTTAATGGAGTCAATAAGCAGACGTGAACTGCGAAGTCAGGAGACTCCAGAGAAAACACGATTATTGGTGGACACACAGTTGAAGTCTTCGACTCCATCGAAAGGACCTGGATGCCATTCAAAGGACAAAGGCTCCTGCAGTGAAATTGAAGATTTGCCGTACCTTTCCACCACTGAAATGTATTTGTGTCGCTGGCATCAGCCAGCTCCTTCTCTGTTGCGAGAGCCTTCTCCCAAGAAGGAGGAGACTGTAGCAAGTAAGAGGCTTGCTTATCCCTTTTTGATGATTAGCCTGGTGTTGGGTTGGAGGGGGCATTGAACTCATTAATTGGGGGTCTCTTTAAGAGTCTTTTGAACACTTGAAGACAGCTAGAGAGCAACATTCCATTTCTGAGTGATATTGATGCAGGTGAGTAACTGGGTCTGAAATATCAAAGCCTTTGAAATCCTCCCTGTTCTAGGCTACGTGTGAGCAGTGTATGAAATCAACCAACCTATTTAATGACCTGTGGTGATATTTATGAATAACAATGACATTTATGTCTCTGTGTGCTCACAATATATGCAATAAACATCTCTTTCTGTTCCTGTCTGTTCCCTTTCATGATACTTCATGGGGGAGGGATTGGTTTGTGCACATGAAAAAAGTGTATCAGCTAACTAATTCTTGAAAATTAGCTTAACTGATCCAAGAGAAGTGGACTTGTTTGTATGATTTGAGAAATATTTCTGGAGTCTCTCTGCTTTCATTTCCTTCCTAAACAGCTCCTTAGTTATAACTTACTTTGACTGTACAATACTGCAAAGTTGCTCTTCACACGTTTTTAATTATTACTAAGGTTAAGCTTGTGTGGCAATTGTTTATCTTAAATATATGAGGGTGCTGCTATTGTCACCCTGTGTGACAAGATGAAATTAAGTTTTGAAAGCTATCTGTCTGAATCAATATCCAAGCTGCAGTAGTAATGCATTCTGAACTGAGGAATACATTCTGTCAGCAGCTATTTTATTTAAATGAAGAAAGTGGAAGAAAGGAAGAAAAATAGAAATGGAGAGCAAAGCAAAAAATACTTAACTTCATGTTATAGATTAGCTATGAATGTTGGCCCTGCTTGGGATTAAGAGAGGGATTAGCATACAGAACCCTGTTTAAGTAGGTCTGATCAGACTATTTAAAAAAATTATAAAGATAATGAATTGCCAAAGCTCTAATGTAATAAAATGCTAAGATGATGTAAAGTCAAGTATTTTCAAAATCTTGATTATACCTATTGCATAGCATTGTTAAGGAAAGCCACAGCAAAATTCCAGTTGTGCTTCATATTGAAATAAAGAATGTAAGATCAGGAAGGGTTCATACATCACAATGAGTCAAATATTCTAGAATTTTGTCTTATTGTCAATAATGTGCTGCCACACACTGTTTTATTGCTTCTATAAGTCAATGGATAAATGATAAAATTATTTAATCAGATTGTTCTGTAACCAAGATCCTTGTATTGCTTCTTACAAATAATTCAAGGATCTGAAATATGAACAAAGTATGACTTTTAGTACTAATTTGATAAGACAGCAACTATAGGTATGGTGCCATGGAAAGAGATTTGACATTATTTCTGTTCTTGAGAGTATATTGAACAGTGGTTATGTTTATATAGTCTGATTGACAGTAGTCAATATTTGAAGAAATTCAGGCCTACTGTGATCTGCAAACAAGATTAGGCTTACTTATGTAAGTTAATATGTATGTTATTTTTAATTCTGATTTCATAAGTTAAAAATAACTAAAATATTTCAAAAACATGGGGGGGGCATTTAAATGTGTGTATAAAAGCTGATAGTAATAGAAGACAACCTGATAAGCATTGAAATACAGTATATTTGTATTATTAATGAGACAGTGATAGATCATGAATAATATGTTTTGGCCTATCCAGAATCTATCTGTTCTGTTGCCTAGATTCTTGTAGGAATCAGCATTCCGAGCTGCTAACAGTTTTTCCTGATATACTGTACTCTTCAGTATTAAAACAGGTCTTCATCTAGCATTCCAAATTTGACATTCAAAATTGATAAAAATTAATGTTTACATAATTTATTGAATTGAGCCAAGATTATATAGCAAGGAAGGGATTGTAGCTGATAAGATAATGAGCTGAAATTTTGGGAAGATAAAGAATTAAAAGAAAAGGGTATTGTTCCTTGATCTTAGATTCCAATCTTCTCAAAATATAAAATCATTAAACCACTATATGAATTTATGTAGAAATGGCTTTTTTTTAAATTCTATCTTCACAGGCTTTTCAGGAAATAATTCTTTCCATGAATAACTATATCTTGAGATTAAGAATTACTGAAATATGACCAACTGCAGGCTTTCTTCAATCAATTTTAAGCATATAAGAGAAGCTATAATATAGTTAGTATATACCGTATTTTTCAGAGTATAAGACACACCAAGGTTTTGAAGAGGCAAATTGAAAAAAAGTAGGAAGGTAAAGGGATAGAGAGGGAGAAAAATAGAGAGAAATATAGTAGGTAGGTAGGGAGAGAGGGTGTAGGTAGGTAGAGGGATAGAGCGAGAGAAATAGAAAGAGATAGAGAAATACAGTAGATAGGTAGGGGGAGAGAGAGAGAGTAGGTAGGTTAGTAGATAGAGGGATAGAGAGAAATAGAGAGAGAGAAAGAAATACAGTAGATAGGTAGGAAGAGAGAAAGAGAATAGGTGTAGGTAGGTAGATGTTTCCAGGTGTATTTGTCCATGTGCTGGAGAAGGAAATCGCTGACAATCTGCAGCACCTAAGACTTTGTTTCTGCTGGCACAGCACTTGATCAATGTAATTCTCATCAATCAGTTAAAGAGCTTTCCAAAAGGAGAAAAAATGTTTTTGCACTCTGCAAACCTCCCAAAAATGTTTTAATTTTTCCAAAAAAAGGCATGAATAATCTTGAGGGGGCTTGCAGAGTGTTTTTTTGGGGGGGAAATCAAGCAAAAAATGGCCCATTTTTCACGAAAATGGGCCCGTTTTTTCTCAAAAAAATTGCACGCATAGCCTTATGGAGGCTTATAGAGTGCTGCTGGAGGGGGAAAAAAACGGGCCATTTTTTTGCTCATTTCTGCCCTCCCCACCCCCCAAGAGCACTCTGAAAGCTTCCATAGGGGTATGCATGGCCATTTTGGAGAAGGGGCGGGGCTTCGGGAGGCAAAAAAATGCTGTATTTGGTGTATAAGATGCACCTAGATTTTCAGCCTCTTTTTTGAGGAAAAAAGGTGCATCTTATACAGGTGAAACTCAAAAAATCAGAATATCGTGCAAAAGTTCATTTATTTCAGTAATGCAACTTAAAAGATGAAACTAATATATGAGATAAGACTCATTACATGCATTATATTATCATAATTGTGATGATTATGGTGTACAACTCATGGAAACCCCAAAAGCATCATCTCAGAAAATTAGAATATTACATGCAATCAATAAAACAAGGATTGTACATAGAACAATAT